AGCGCGAAGTGTTTTTACATAAAAAATTTTTCTATTTAAATAAATCTTTTTCATTTTTTTTTTTAATTAAGTGTGATATAATTTTTTTAAAGAAGAATTAAATCACTTGGTTTCGAATAGGCAGATCTTTTAATAAGAATACAAAAACATATACTTAGGTTTCATTGTATGAAGATAAAGATAATTCCACTTAGGTTTTACTTTTTAATTTAGTGGAATTTAAATAATAGTACTATATGGGTTCTTAAAGATTAAAGGTACCACTTGTGTTTTACTTTTTAATTTGGTAAAATTTAACTTGGCGCCGACTGTTGATATCAAATCTTGTATACAAATGATAAATGTCATTAAAATTAAGTAAGTAATAAGGTAGAATAACTTGGCGCCGACTATTGATATCAAATCTTTTATACAAATGATACATGTCATTGATTTAAGTAAATAATAAGGATAATATCACGTATGTTTTTAAAGATTAGAATTTAACTTGGCGCCGACTATTGATCAAATCTTTTATACAAATGATACATGTCATTAGAATTAATTAAATAAGGATAATATCACATAGGTTTTTAAAGATGATTCTACTAAACAGCAAATGTGATTGATCAGTTTCACAGTCGATTAAGCAATTGACGTTCGTGAAACTGGCCCACATGGTTTTTTGTCCAGCAGCACCCATTCTTAGCGCTTTTTTCTACCTTTTTTTTAAAAAGGTAAGTTTATATGGTATATACATACAAAAGATACATGTCATTAGAATTAAATAAGTGTATAAGGATTAATATAACAGTTTTCGATACAGCATTCGACAAATGATACGCATTTCTAATATTTTACGCTGCTCTGGAGTAACACGTTGAAGCGCTACAACAATAAACCATGTATATTTCCCTTCCTGGACATCGTTATTATTTTTGCAGATTTCAAAGTCTCCATAAGAACCCAAATAATCGTCTTGAACTTGAAACAAACACCCTATTTCTAATAAGATGGTTTTTGCTTCCTTGAACATCTCTTGATCTTTTATTCCAGCCTGCAATAAATAACATTGCATCACAGTGCATTATTATCAAGCAAATGAATTTTCGTGTATAAGAAAACTGAGATACTTACTAACTGCATAGCTGCGATTATTGGCAAAATAAAAGAACAATACGAAGTTTTATACTTAACAATGGAATTATATTGATTCATCGTAAACATATCCAAATTTGGCTTTTTACCAAAATTAGTACAGAGAAAATCTAAACTCTGGCCTATTGCTGATTTCATTGTGATCTGTCGAAATATACTTTCACATATAATTCCTTAATTGTAAAGAAAAAGGGAAGAATTCAGATAATGGACATATGACAGGAACAAAAGAAGATAAATCTTTACTTACATCTTGGAATGTTTCTAGTAAATTAACGTAACAATCTTTTCTTTTGAAGTGTTTTTGTATTAGATAAAATATGGAACTGTATAACATAAAAGTATCGTCAATCGTTGTTAAATTGAGATCATTGTATTCGTACCAACATGGCCTCAGCGAAATAACGTTCGATCTTCTATCATATCATCTATCATGAAGAAATAAGCTTGCATCTGTATAGGTAAATGTTATAATTTATAATTCATGATTATACTTAATAATTAAAATAATCATTATACAGTATATACTGTCTCTTCGATTTAAAGGTATCATAATTAAAATCTTAAGTATATCTTGCATTTGATTCATTTAAAGCGTATGCAAAATATCGGTATCAAGGAAAGAACAGAATCACGTACCAATTCCACACACCATGCTAGAATCCGGGCTAAACGAATCGTATTTAATACTGTATATATAGCAGAAATAGGACGTTATTTTTGAAACTTTTTTTGTTAATATCTTTTTAACGAAGGGCGAGCGACGGCTAGTTGTTAAGGCAAAGTTACTCAGGGTCATGACTTTGACAACATATGTCAAGGTCAAGAAGATCGGAGCTGCTTCTCCTATTCCAAAGATTTACCAAAAATTTTTTTTGAAAGACTCCTTTATTGGTTTGTTCTTTTTACCTGCACTGTCTGAACTGGTGCACACAGTGCAATAAGTTGAAATGAACAAACGTATATCTGTTTCACGTCAACTTATTACACACTGTGCACCAGTTGTAGAAAGAACAGGCCTTATGTTTCAAACAAAATAAAAAAATTAATGGATAAGAATAATCTTAATGGCTTTAACGAGTCAAACGCTGTTAACGGTGCGTAACTTGTATACAAAAATATTTTAGATATAAAAATTTTGAACATTTCGGTCCCATCGTTTGGACCATCATCAGCAAATATAAAATATGCAAAGATGTTACTTAGTGTTGGAGATAACGATGTTAAACGCAGTAATGAATATACGCCAAAAGCGGTAAGTCCATCACTAGGTAGAAAAGAGTAAAAGTATTAAGTAAACTTATCTCTGTTGTATTTCATATGTCGTAAGTCACTGACACTAGAACGACGAAATCATCGGTTAATCTAATTATGACAGTTTTAATTGTTAATTTGGAATTGTGTCTGTCGACCAACAGAGGTAAGCTTGCTTAATACTGTTTACTGTTTAGGTCTCAGATTCTATATTTTTTACGATTTCACAGACATATTCAAGATTCTTTAATATACCTTCACTCCATCAAGTGATGCGAACTTATCTCTTTTGGTATTAGATATATATATTCCCAGCAAACACAGATATGTAACAGTTAGATCGCCGTAATAAAACGGATTATAACAGTTAATATAACGTGTACATTGCATGTAACGTATAGGTTAGTTGTAATTTCCTACTCATAGGAAATTACGGTTATATAATAAAAATATAACATAAAACTAAAATATATTGTATTTGTTATATAACACTATTACATTCATATTATATCATTTAGTAACCTTGATATTAACCTAAAAGCACAATTTCTTCAGGAATAATAAGGCCTGAATTAATTTTAAATAAAACTAAACGAGATTGTACTGCTAAAAACACTCTTCTC